GTGGTGGCCTGGGATGGGCTCGATGGCAGGAGCCCTGAGCTCAGGAGCAACTGGAAGATAAATTCCTGGGGCACAGCCTGCCAGCCACGAACAGGCTCCCGAATCCATCGCCAGGAGTCACGATTTGGCGGTGCCCTCAGACAGCACCAGGTTGAGTGCCCAGCGATAGCTGCTTCAGGAGACACTCACTGATACACTACTGGAACTGGGTGCCACCGCTCGGTCAGCCTTCAGGGTAGGGCTCGGCTAAGTCCAAATCTGCCGCTGTTCTCCTCGTGCCTCACCTTCAGCCGGTAGGAGGGAGAAGAGGGAGACTGTCCTCTATCGGACTCCACTTCCCCTCACCCCAGCTACTCTCAGCCATTCTCACTCCCTCTGCCAACAGTCGAGTCACATGCCCATCGATCTCTTCTCTACTCCCCAGGGTCAAATCCTGTGACAGCCAAAATTCCACAGGAAACCAGCATTCTTTCACTGCATGCCAATTCCTCCAGCGAGTGAGTGTGAACACTGGCAGGGCAGAAGCGCAGGTGGGAAGCAACCCCGCCCCTGGCTGGGCATAGCCCTCCCACCCCAGCCAGCCACCACTCCCCACCAGCCCTTAACTCTCACCCCAAGAGAGTCCCTCGCTCTTAAAGGGCCAGCAACCAAATGTGAAGCAATTGTCTACATGTAGACTCTACATGGTTTGCCTGGTGGCACTCCAGGTGAACCAGGTAAGACCTATGCTCTGAGCACCCAACACGTCTCCCGCTGTGGCTTACAACCCTCCCCAGGTGTGGGGAACACCCCTGGGGTGGGGCCGGGGCGGGTGGTTCCCCTTGCTGGTCCTGTGGCCAAAGAACTCTATCTAGAAGGAGACAACACTCAAAAACACACCCAAACACACTGCCATCGTGGGGACGACAACCCGCAGGGAGCTCATGGTGCAGGACAGTGGGGTTCAGAGACTGTAACCCCTTATGGAAGTGGAAAGCCCATCTTTCTCCCAAGGAACAGTTGGTGGTTTCAAACTGCAGCCCCAAAGGTAACCAGGAAGCCACCAGGGCTCCTGGACAGGAGGGATCTACATTTCACCAGCACCCCAGGGCAGGAGGATCCAGGAACATTCGTTCTAGTGGTGCTGTGTGCTCTGAGGGCAGAGGGCAGGGCACATTGGGATGACTGCCTGCCATGTCCTCCTGTCTGGGAGATGCACCCCACCCAGGACACAGCAGGAACGCTAGGACCAGAGCCACTACATCATGCTGAGCAGGACCATGGCACGCGGCATCCTTTAACACATTTTTATTTCGTGAATGAGGCTGGGAAGTGCTCAGGGCTGCAGGGACCCTGACTGCGATGCCTGGTTCCCAGGGCCTCCCATCCATCCGCTGTCCAAGGAGCACCCGTGTGAGGCTGGTGCTCTCTCCTCGGTGGGCACTCCTGAGCTGCTCCGGTGGGCACTCCTGAGCTGCTCCCTGGACGGCCCTGGTTCTCAAGGGAGTGCGCTCCTGCAGTCACGTGGCTGTTGTAAAAAACCACTGATCCAGGAAGGTCTGTGGGCTAGCCCTGGACTTGCATTGACATCCACTAAAAACACCACTGCTCCTGCGCGAGAGGAGGGCTTCCTGGGCTGGGCCTGGGACCCAGACTCGCTGTAACACAAAGGAAAATCTCTGGCCGCCAAGTGCGCTCTGGGGTAGGTTCCCCGGGACGAAGATGATCCCTCCTGGTGTGTGAAAGTATGGACCCCGAAGACCAAGGCTGTCCAGATACCAAAGGGGTGGGCTGTTGAGAACAGGCACCCGTGGGTATGTCTCCTGGCCTAAGTGGCCTGGATCACCTCTGTGGGTCTGTGCTTGGCAGGTGTGTGTTGTCGGGCTCGGGAATCTCCTGTTGCGTTATCTCCACATCTGCTCGTGGGAGGGAAGCTACGTCTGTGAGTGTGAGCGTGAAAGGTGGGTGGAGGTGAGCAGGCGGCGTGAGCCAGCATCAGTGCCTGCTTGTGTGCATGAACGCTTCTAATCCAGTCAGTTCTGGAGCTGAGCCCTTAGAGGCCACACTAAACCCCCCATCCCCGGGCCATGTCCCGGCCAGTTCATACTGTCCTCGTGGCAGGCGGGCACTTCCTGGGGAGAGAATTCCGTCCTGTTTCTGTTGTTTGCCTATTATTTCTATTTGGGGAAACCTTGCCCCACCGGTTACTCCTCCCTTTCCTTCTCCACACCACCCACCACCCCTCCCTGCTCTGCCTGCTGCCCCCGGGGAGGGGACGAGCGAGCTGCTCCCTCCAACCCTGACCGTACAGGACAGACACTGCAGGGCGGCCTCAGAACCAGAGCCCCAGTTCCACCCTACCACACCAACTCCCTCTTGGACACTGCATTTGACAGCGCCTTTGTCACGTGAGCTACTCTCCGATTCCCATACTTTCCCTCGACAGATCCCTCTGCTCTCTCCGTCCTCTGAGGGCAAAAGGCTTGCATGGGCTTCTGACAGAGAGATAAGGCAGCTGGCCTTTGGTGTCAGCGGGTTCTCTACACAGTGGGGTCATCGCCACCTGACTGTCCAGGGATGCTCTGGAAGGGCCCTGGCAGCAGCTGCATTTCCATCCGAATACTGGTGCTCTTCCCTCAAAGGTCTGAAGGGTCCCACAGCTGGCGTCTGTCCCCTTTACCCAGTGGGTTAACTGGACAGTCTTGGGAGACTGCAGGTATCACAACACAAGGCCAGTAACCTCTCTGTTGGCACAAAGTCAGTCACCTGTCACCTGCTTGGAACCTAGCCAGCCTCCAAGACAACCTCTGTCTCATTGAGGGGATCAAACTTGGGACAGCTCATCAGTCCTCTGGTGCTGGATTTCCACAAACACGGGGAAAAAGCAAGGCCCTTCCCTTTCTAACTCCTCTACTCACACCAACCCCCAAAAGGTCAACCGCGACTCCACAGAAATGGGGAGGTGGGGAGGGGGCAGAGGGGCGGGTGAGGGGACTCCAGTGATGGACCCAGGACTAGCACAGAACTGCAGCGCATCGTGGTGGCCTGCTTGCTGAGGCCTTAGGTCGGTGAACCAACTGCGCTGAAACCCTCAAGTGGGAAACTCGCTGGCGGTGCAAACTTTTACAGAAAACATGATTTGATAGTGTAAGACATGACAAAAGAATCCTAATTCATAAATGATCAAGGGTTCATGAGGGAGCGGGGCGGGGAGGGAGGGGAAAAAGTGAGCTGATGCCAAGGGCTCAAGTAGAAAGCAAATGTTTTGAGAATGATGATGGCAATAAAGGTACAAATTGCTTGACACAATGGATGGATGGATGGATGGATGGATGGACGGACGGATGGACGAGCCCCCAATAAAATGATTTAAAAATAAAGAAAGACAGCAAAGCCATTTTCACCAGGAAACTCCTGGAAATAACATACCCCCGGCTGGCCCAAGGCCCTGCACACACGTGTGCCTGCTGACTTGTCCTCAGAGTGCTACTGCCTAATGTTCTCACAGGGCCCAACCAAGCGCTCCACGCACACGCCATCTCCAGACGGCAGCCTTCACCCCACAACTGTGGTGATGGGCCCAACTGTGCCCCATCGCACATACACACCCCTCCCTGTCCCCCAAATAACATTTGTGGCCTTCCCAGCCCTGCATTCTGTATGGAATATAACTGTGATTGGAAACAGCATCTCCTTTTTGCTCTATGAATGAGCTCGCAACAGGGGGAGACCTATACCTCATTTCTTCTGAGTTCTATGAAGTTCAGAAGAGACATCGGGAAGGGAGGGGAGTGGCAGGGGGGTCGGGGGTGGGTGTGGGTGTGGGTGTAAGTGCATGCCAGGTTAAGTATCCTCTGTAATGCCAAGAAAGGCCAAGGAACCAAGGCATGCCCAGGGTGAAGGGCAAGACCCCTGACTGGAGTGTCTGCCCTCCAGACCTGTGAGGAAGGAAATTTCTGTTCTTTAAAAGCCACCCCTTGTGGTATTTGTAGCAAAACCACCACTAAGAGACTGACCAGCGACCTAGCTGGCACTGCCTATGCTTCAGTCAGAGTCTCACCGCAATGTGGGTTGTTTTTTGTGTTTTTTAAGCGGCCCCCCCCGCGCCCCGCGCGCGCCTCTCTATCTCAGGGTCTTCTTCTGTGCTTTTTTGTGAGCGGGGGCGCCGCGCTATTTTTTTTTTTTCGGGGCGCCAGTCTCAGCTCATGTTACTGTCTGCCAAGCACTTTCCACGTGGGCCTGAGACGGCAGCAAGAGCCCCACGCGCTGTTTTAACTGAAAGTCAGCGTCTCTTCACGTCGCCACAAGAGCACCGGAGTGTCCGTTTCTAGCAGCCCCACGAGGCCTGAGGAAACAACAGCGAGCAGCAGCGGGCCCTGAAGCTTGATGGTGGAAATGTGGGTGTGCATGCAGGGGCATGGAAAGGATACCCTCCTGAGTCCTCCCAGCCGTCTTCCTCCTCGTCCACTGCCGAGCGGCACAGCTCCCACTTCTGTCACTGTGTGGGGAGGGGAGCCTGGCACTCGGACAGGGAGCTGCTTTGTCCAGTCAGGTCCACAGAGTCGATCATTGGGAACTGCTGTTTCTGGCAGGTCATCTGCGAGAGGCTGACCTGACCCACTGCTTCAGATCTGTGTCTGCGTTCTCACCACCCCGGGTGTCCGTCTTGCTCAGGAGCCTGGCACAGCAGGGCTGCCAGTGCGGCCTTCATTCCCAGCCCCTTTCTGCTTCCCATCCTGACTACAACGTTGTCCTGAGCTCCCGAAGAAGCTGGAAACGTTTACTCTCCCAATATTTTTAAGAGCAATACATACAAACTTAGAAAGTAGTGGCTGTTTGGGGAAAAAAAAAACCAACAAAAACAAAACCACCCATAATCCCATACTCGGAGTTATGGTCAGTATATTGATATTCAGTAGATATATCCAAAACCTACTGTCCCTGATCAGTTTCAACTCATATCGACTCTATATGGGGTTCCGGACACTATAGATCTTTATGGGAGCAGAGAGCCTCAGTCTTTATCCTGAGGAGCGGCTAATGGGTTTGAACCACTAACCTTGTGGTTAGCAGCCCACCAGGCTCCATAGGTATACATGCATACATAGACACACACACACACACATACATATGTAACACGAGACATAGATGCAACTCCTGTAATACACAATGTCTTGAATCATGTTTTTCACAACATGGTCTGAGGAACATTGCTCACTCATCTTTTAGACTCATTTAATCCACTCTTTAAAATTACAAAATAAAAACACATGAAAACTTGAACCAGCACAGAAACAGATCCCAACGTCAACATTCCATCCATCACCTCTTCTAGGGCGCCCTCCCCAGTGGCTGACCCCTCAGAGTTGCTGGGAGATGACCCTTGTGAGCCTCTTCCTGTATGTGGACCCCATGGGGTCACACACATAAACAAGTAAATGAGGTAGACACATCCTTTTCCTGTTTTTCAAAGCAAGTGCATCCCTGCTGGGCTGTGCCTAAAGGTGTGCCAGGGTAGGGACCCTTTCCTGGGGCCGGGCCCGCCTATGCCTACAGACCTAGTGCTGACATCGTGCCAAACTCAGTTACAGCATTAGCAAGACTACTGCTTATGGAAAGTCCAACCGTGCTGGGGGGTGTGTTTATATCTATAACCTCACAGATTCCACTCAACAACCGTATTGACGAGTGGCGCTACCCATTTTGCAGGTGAGACTAGGCAAGTGGTAGCACTGAAATGTCACCAACTGCATTCTTAGCCCCCATCCCACTCACCGCCATTGGGTCGGTTCTAACCCGTAGTGACTCTACAGGTTAGAGTCATGGTAGAACTGCCCCGGTGGGGTTCCGAGGCTGTAACTCTTTAGGGAGGAGAAAGCCTCATCTTTCTTCCAAGCAGCAGCTGGTGATGTTGAACTGCTGGCATTGAGGTTAGCAGCCCCACACGGAACCCACTATGCCAGGGCTCTGTTAGCCCACAGAACCACCTTTTCCTTCTTAACTCCTAACACCACCACCTTTCTCTTTCTTCCTCCCTCCTTCCCTTGTCCATGCACCGCCCCCCCCTATTCACCAAACACTCTGGCCTGTACCACAACAAGCACTATGTATATTAAAGTACAGGGAAAAACAAAACACTCGATGCCGACCCACAGTGACCCCATAGGACAGGCTAGAACTGCCCTTGTGGGTTTCTAGAACCACACTCTTTACGAGAGTAAAAAGCACCATCTTTCTCCCACGGAGTGACTGGTAGTTTCGAAGTGGTGACTGTGCAATTAGCGGGGCAATGAATAACCATGGGGGTTCATGACTATAGCACAGAGGAGGGGAACTTTGCTGCAGAGCTGAGATGGCCCCCATCGCCCAGAGCAGCCTTCTAAGGCCAGGCCTATTCACTGAGAAAGCGTTCTCACAACGCAAAGATGGCTGATGGAGGGCCAATCCCGCCAGTTCAGAATGCAGAGCTACAAGGCAGCAGCTCTGGGTGGGAACACAGCAAATTAACACTCCTTTTTCAAGCGCTCGCTTCCATCCTTGATAAAAAGCTTTGGGAGAGCTGTCATCTGTGGGAAGTACTTAGAAATGAGAAACGTTTTGACTGTGGGGAGAAACTTTAATTTAAAACCAATTGTGAGAAATTAAGGTCATCAAGTGTAATGGCAGCTATAAAACGTAAATGGTGGTGTAGTTACTCCCAGCGCAGGCTAAATGCTCTTACAGCTCGGCTTCTCACGCACCAGTGGATTGAACTCTGAGCCATCAACAGGCCTGCAAGCTGGAAGCATTTTGGTTAAAGGGAGTCCATAAAGCCTCAGCCAAGAAACTCATGGCCAATCGTTTCCCCACGGGGCAGCAGGGAGCAGCTTACATACCCTTGTCTGTGAGATTTTTTCGAATGACTTGAATAGTAAGAGTATCCAGAATAGGTGGATTCGGTATCCATAGCCAAGGAGAGCAGGGAAGAGGCCACCGTTTCCCTTCAGAGGTAGAGAACGTTGCCCCAGGAGACTCCTTAAGCCTCCAGGAGCCTGAGTATCGGAGGAGCAGCTCTTCAACCGGAACAATGCTGGAAGAGAGAAAGACAAACAGAAAAGGTCACTGACAAATCCAGCGTGGACAGGGCTGGACCACAGAGGCAGGAGCCGCGTCCAGGACAGGGACACCGCTTTTCTGGGGGCCCAGTTCCGGAACACGTGATTGCGAGAGGGAAGCATCTAACCACCGGAATGGGTCCACTTGGGTAGGAAGGAGCGTCCCTGGATGTCTGGGAGGGAGACAGGATGGGGCCCAGCAAGCCACACCTGTCACATGGGAGTAAAACGGGAGGTGGTGGGTCTCTGCACTGGCCCGTCTCGTGGGCCCAGCCCAGCCCTCCCTGTGTCTGAGGCTGTCGGATAGGCTGGCTCCTCCATACAGACAGTCAGGACACTGTTCAGCCACCCAATGCCAGTTTGCCAGATTTTAAAAACAATAGCCAAAAAATAACCTTTTCAGGGATTTGGTCATAAATATATAATTTTTTTTCCCAAGGAAGTGCTTACTTTCTTTGACCCAGGAGTACAAACACCTAAAAATTTATCTTAAGAGACCTAACCTCTTTAAAACAAAAGTTATCACTACCACTGAATCATGGGGCTGAATGGCTGGAAGATCAGATTCTCTCAGACGTACCTCAGAAAAAAGGACTGGCAATCAGCTACCCTAAATTCAGTCCCTGAAAGCCAGAGGGTACAGAGTTCTGTCCTGATACTTGGAGGGTCACGACACGGTAGAGCTGCCTCAGCGACCATCGTTTTATTATCTGATTGTAATAGTGAAAAGCTAGGAATTATCTAAATGCCCCCCAAACAGAGGAATCATAAAGAACAACATGGCTCATCCACTCAAAGTAGTTATTACATAAACCCATTGCCACTGAGCTGATTCTTACTCATAGTAAATCTCTACAGGAGCTAACACCCTCCTCTTTCTCCCTTGAAGCAGCTGGCGTTTTGAACCACTGATGTTGTGGTTTGTACAATACTTACCTGACAAGACCACTAAACCAAAAAACAAACCCACTGCAATGGAGTCAAGGCAGGCTCATAGCGACACTATATGAGAGGGTAGAACTGCTCCTATGAGTTCAACCTCTTTACAAGAGTAGAAAGCCCTTGCTCCTGCAGAGTGGCTGCTGGTTTCAAACTGCTGACCTAGAGGAACGTAGTCCAGCTTGGAACCACTATGCCACCAGGGCTCCTTAAAGAATTATGTCATATTCACTCACTGCCATCGAGTCGGTTCCAACTCATAGCAACCCCATAGAAACTGCCTCTATCAGTTTCTGAGACTAACTCTTTACAAGAGTCAAAAGCCTCATCTTTCTCTAATGGAGCCGCTGGTGAGTTTGAACTGCCAACCAAGAGAAATTTTTATTACATAAACTAAACCCACCCTAGTGCCCATGGCGTGGAACTAACTGCTCCATGGGGTTGCAAATCGTTGTGGAAGGGCACAGAGCAGCTGGTGGATTCAGATCCAGACCATTTGGTTAGCAGCCCAATGCTTAACCCACTGCACTACTCGGGCTCCCTTTTATGGAATCATGGTGAAAGCTGGGTCTAAGACTGTAGATACACCCTGCAGCTACACTACAGTTACAGTCATCCAAACACTTCTTTCAGGATGACAATTAGAAGGGTGCATCCAAAGCCAAAAAACGGGAGATTCACTAGTGACGGTATCCCAGGCCTGTCCCACCATTTTCCTGGGATACTGGTTTGCAACACAAGTAAATGAAAAAGTGTTTCCAATTACATTCCTTTCACCTGAGCTACCATATGCTAAACCTTTACTTGTAGAAAACACGTTCACACGTTCTGTCTGTCTTTCCCAGCACCTGGGCTCAAAGGGGGTCTCTGGCCCAGCAGGCTCCTGCCCAGCATTCCCCCAGGCCCACTACAAATAGAGCCAGTGAGGTAAGTGTGAAGAAAAACAAAGGGGCTGTAAATGCCATGCTCCTGCCCCTCAGGGGGCTGGTGGGGGGAGGGGGGGGGCGGCGGCAAGTTTCCCAGACCCCAGCAACTACTTGTAAAAGTCAGGAAGGCGGGAGGCCAGGATCCTGGCTGGGCCTGCAAATCACACCAAAAATCCCCAAACCCAAACTCACTGCTACCGAGTGGAGTGGATGCCAACTCCTAGGACTGCCTCTGTGAGTTTCCAAGAACGGAGCTCTTTCCAGGAGTAGAAAGCCAGGTCTCTCTCCGGCAGAGTCGCTGGGGCTTTCAAACTGCTGACCTTACAGTTAGCAGCCCAATGCACAAATCACACCAAGGCGGCCACAGGTTAGGAGACCTCTGTCCTTCCCATTCCCACTTGGCTGGAAGAGAAATGCGTGTGCACACCACGTGGTGGGGACTGACTTCCCAGGTCCTGAAGTCCTGACCCATCTCATTTCTTCTCTGCCCAGAGGCAAGGGGCAAGGCTAGCAGAGGGGAAGGGGCCCTGGGTTTCCGCTAGAGCCCCCCCGCTGTCCATTGTGGCTTACATTAGCCGCTTGCCTTCTTGAGCCTCAGTTTGCTCACTGCAAACCAGGGGTCAACCAGCCACCCACCTCAGAGGGTTTGATGTGAAGCTTTAAGCCCATGTGCTACCTGGAGCTGGGCTCCAATCGTGGGTTTTACTCGTTTATGAGCTCGGTGATCTCAGTCAAATGATTCAATCCCTGACTCTTCACCTGTCAAATGTGAATAACAGGGACGCCAGGAGGATCAAATGCAAACACACCCCGTACCAGCTCTAGAACATGTTACCTTTATAAAAGGTTGATTTAACTCCGCAGCTGGCTCCAACCCCTGATGCTCGTTCCCAGGAAGTGTCAGATTGGAGGAGGAGGAGGACAGGAGTGCTGCCACCACACCAGGAAGCTCACCTGTGGGCTCACCTGCGGGCTGTCCTCAAAAGAAAGGGGCTCCCATCTCAGGGCCCTCCTTACTAACTAACAAAATTCAGCTACCCCTTTCAGCAGTGGTTCTCAACCTTCCTAATGCCGCGACCCTTTAATACAGTTCCTTATGTCGTGGTGACCCCGTACGTGGATGTCTCTGCATGTGGGTGGACCGGCCTGGAGACAGATAGAGGAGCAGTGTCTCCGTTCTTAAGACCATCGGAAATATGGTCTTAGGCAACCCCTGTGAAAGGGTCAGGCGACCCCTGTGAAAGGGTCCTTCGACCCCCAAAGGGGTCACGACTCCCAGGTTGAGAACCGCTGCCTCAGAGCTTGAGGTTTCCTCACTGTTAAACTGCACTAAGAATATGGCCACCTACTTTGTGAGTTAACCATAAACTGTAGAGATTCAATGTAAAAACAAGCTCAGCAGGCATTTTATTTAAAAAATGTCTTACTCTTGGACCTATACCTCCACTTCCCTAGAAGACCTCAAGCGCTGGTTTCTCTTACAGAAAGGAGTTGGACACCACCAAAAAGGAAAGAATGTGTCTTCTGGAGCAGGGGTCCCTGTGCTGAGAACCTTCTAAACCCAGGGGAAGGAAGACTGCTGCCAAGGGACACCAGCTCTCCAAGGAGCCCTGGGCCCAAGGTGTCAAAAGGGGGCAAGGCCCTTCCTCCAGAGCTGACAGAGAATGCCCTCCCTAGACCTGGTGCCCAAGGCTCAGACCCCAGCATCCTGGATGCTGAGAGAACAAGCTTGCATTCGTTCCTCTTTAAATAAATAAATCAAGAGTGGGCTCATCTTGTTTCTCCCTACTTTGCCTCCCACCAATTCCACGAGCAACTTCAACGAGGGTGCAAACAAGCTTCCGGCACCTTACATGCTCGCTTCCTTTCTGCCCCAGGCCTCTGCTTTCTCACCAGCTTCGTACCTGCTGGACTCCAACTTGAAGGGCAGGCTACTGCCAAGATCTCCAGCCCGGCCTTGAACATAGCCTTGCTGGGTGAAATGTGTACAGCCGATCATACACCCATTCAACGTGTTCTGCATGCACTAGTCGATGCAACCCCTTACTTTTAATTTCCTTTTCCATTCTAGTTTCTAGCCAATTCCTTCACCTCTGTGCCTCTGGCTCAATACTGCCAGAGGCTCTCAGGAGCAGGCAACTCGGGTCCCCCAGCTCAGGTCTCGCTTCCTATCTGTGGGGCCTGGAGGCAGACACTTGTCTCTCGGAGCCGGCTACGCCCCTGTAAAATGAGCTCTCTGGATACGATCTCTTTTTACGGTTGCTGTGATCAAAGCAACTTTCTATGTGAACCCTCTGGCACACAGTAACCCAAGTGTCAGTTCTGTCCCCTGCCCGCACACTGACGTCATCCCCTGTGCTCATGAAAACTCGGCCACCCATTAGGGCAGCTCCAGGCATGCCCCTCAAAGGAGAGGCATGACTCCCAGGGTGGCCTCCAGAGAAAGGCTTTCCCCAACGCCAACTTCCCTGCCCAGTCCCTCCCCAGGACCCTCCATCCGCAGCACCCACTGCAACAACTCTAGCCTGGCCAGAGACTGCTGTGAGCCCAATCCAAAGGCCATACCCCTGACTACCTTCCCCTTGAACTCCTAGGGGCATTTATCCATTGCATTAATAATAAGCAGCGCAAGGCCGATCCCCGAAGTGCAAAGATAATCCACTCACACCCTTGCTCTCCCACTTCTCCATTGACTCTCTGAGACTAGTCACCCAGCATCAGGTCTGTATGAAATGACAGCCCACTTTCTTCTGTCCACCAGCTGGCCACCCAAGGCTGAGGCAGCTTCCCAAGGTAGGGCTCTGGGGCAAGGCCAGGCCCCAGTGGGTTTGGCATGCCACCAGGACTCAGAATTTACAGAAAAGAACGCATGACTGTCACCTTTCATAGACCTGCAGGAGGAGATGCCACCCTTTGGCTCGGCGGGAGAAAGGTCTGGCAATCTGCTCTAAGAAAGAGGACAGCCTAGAAACTCCCATGGGGCAGTTCTAGTCCTGTTGCGTGGGGTCCCTTGAGTCACAAAGCCCCGTGAAGGCACCTAACAGTAACACTGGTATCACCCCTTGGGGGCGCTAGAACAATCCAGGGAGGTGGCAAAAGCAGACACTTGC